CGAATGGCGCCCCATGTGCTCTTTGGATTGCATGTCATACCCTTGCACAACGTGAACCATGTTCGGGCTTGTTCCCATGCTATGCACTTGATGTACAAGCTTTTCATGTTGATTCCTAGCTGCACCAGTGCTGTGCGACAGAACAACAACACGCATTGTAGAAAATACCATGGGTCCTGTAGGAAGCACCACGTTGTCCGAAAATACATGTCATCGGCGACAACGAGACAATGAAACCCTATTATTAGAACAGAAAAAGAAATCCCCGCAATCGCATTGCACCCATTTGGTGTAAGACATTGCGGTAGCTCTGAACAAAATTACATCACCGAAGTTGGAATGCTCCACTAATGCTCGAGCCAATGCCTGCAGATGCACGGTAATAACAAAGCCCCTTCCGCCGTCTCCCATCATAAGATTTTCTAGCTTCAATATACGACGCGATGAATAGATCACCGACGAACAAAAACAACAGCAACAAATACTCAACAACAGCGGCAGCGGCACGATAGCCAGCAACCTCAGCATAAAATTTTTCTGCGAACAATACACACAAACATACACACACACGAGCAAGAAACCTATCATTGGAAAACTCCGAAGGGCGCCGAAGACGCTCAACCATATTTGAACTGTTGTGATCATATTTGTAGGTTTCACAGACGTATGTTCGACAACATGGAAGTACACCTAAGGCTTTCAACGATTTTACTGATATCGCAGGTCAGGCTGGAGAGGAGAGAACGAGAAGGAGAAGGTGGAATAATGAAAGCCAATGAAGAGAAGGATGGATGATCCTTTAAATCGGAAGTAAGCAGAATAATTAGACGTATTCGGAAGATAAGTTCATCGTGAGAGCGAGGATCAACAATTCACGCCACAATGCTATAGAGTCATGGATGGCGGGACCAGGTATGATCCCGGTGGCAATCGTTCGACGAACGAAAAGTCAGGAGAACAAGGAAAGAAAGGAAACATTACGGAGCAAAGCAGATCAGAAGTGAACGGAATAAGGGAAAGAGGACGAGTAAATGACACATGCGAATGCAAGCACCATGATTCAACAACTTAGATGAAATATTCAGTAGGGTCGGTACTGAGATCCACCAGCAGATATGCATCAAGGAGTTGTCGTCCTATGAGCTATACCAAACGTCAAATTGGATTATCCGATGAAACCTAATTGGCCACGAACCGTCTGATAGTTATACCGTAAAAAGTATGCGATGGACGCGGTAGACGCATGTGGGCACTACATTTGCGCAATCCATAGTCTCCCTATGGGATAACGAAAAATGCGAGAATCCCAACAGCCCTCTAGGCGGAGATGCTCTAGCGTGTTTCATTTTCGAACCTTTCCTTACTACCATCCATCCCGGCGTCTGGACGGAGAGGGCCGCGAGGTGTCAGAGTTTTGTTTTGGGCTCAAGATGGCTCCAAGAGGGCCGCAGAAAGCCCAATATGGCCTCCGAGATAGCCCAACATACCTCACATTGGATCAAGATAGCCTCCAACACGCACGAAGATGGCGTCAAATTTCGACACGCACGCGAGTTTAAGATATACGTCACTGCCAGAGCTGACTGGCTCACCTGGTAATCATTCTGGATGGGCTGATGGGGATACGTGAAGCGTGGGTTGGGTGGAGCTTTGAATGGAGCTATGACATGTGTAAGGAGGTTGACAAGACAGGCAAACGAGGAGCGAGGAGGGCGTACGTGGAAATTGATACTTACTTGCCAGCGCTGATGGAATGTCTTGCACGAAATAAATAAAATGCGATTGCGGACACATGTGGGATAAACAATCGGGAAAATAAAATACCATTGCGGGAACATGTGGGATAAGCGATCGAAAAATTAATGAATATGTCACACAGGCAAATGCATTTGGCATGATAAAACACCTTGGATAATGATTCCGAATGGAGTAGAAAAGGCCTTTTAGGGAATGGTTTTCTCATCCTCCCCTCCCACCTCCTCTTCTCCTCCCCGCGCGCCGCCGCAACGACATATTCAAGAACATCTGCCACCGCCCTGCAGAAATGGCCCCTGAGCACGCAAAATCTCTGCGCGACCAAGAGCCTTCGGCAATCACGGCAAACGAAATAAACAACTTAACCCGGAACCCCAAAAACTCAACAAACCAAACAAACCGTGTTAACAGAAAAACAGAAAACCAAAATAACCGGAAAACCAAAAAACCCGGCCAAACCGAGAAAACTCAACCGGACCAAACCGAGAAACCCAAATCAAGACCGCTGGAAAACACATCAAACCCGGAATACCAGAAACCCACCGGGAAATGGAAACCCATACTGAACCAAACTGAGCAAACACTGCAAACCGAACCAAACCGAGCAAAAGCGAGAAAAAAACCAGATCAAACCGGGAAAAAACAGAAAACCCGGCAATGCGGGCAAACCGGGATATCAGAAACAACACGAGAACCAGAACATAACAAACCGAACAAACAAAACAAACCGGATAAATCGAAACCGGGAAAACTCAAGGACCCCATAAAACCAAACAATACAGGGCAAAACGAGATAACCAGAAAACCCAACAAATCCAACCAAACCGATACAAACCGAGAAAACCAGACCAAACCGAGAAGAAAACCGGGAAAACAACAACAAAACAGAAACACTTGTAAAACCCGGAGAACCGGGAAAAGCAAACCAAACCGGAAAAACCAAACCAAACCAAAGAAACCATATTCATCAGACCAAACCGGACCGAAGTGTGAAAACCAGACAAAACCAAAAAACAAGAAAACCGGACAACCCGGAAACCGGAAAAACCGAGAACACGGTCCCAACCCGGGAAAACCAGGAAAACCAAGCCAAACCGAGCCAAACCGGAAAAACAGAAAAAAAGATGGGGAAACCGAGCAAACCGGGAAAACTGGAAAAAAACCGAGGCAACCAGGAAAACCACAACAAAAACTAGCCAAATCGGGAACACCGGGGAAATCGAGCCCGCCGCAGGCGCAGAAACAAGTGAATTGATGGATTGGGTTGGATGGATTGGATTGGGTGGGATAAGGACAAGATGGGTTGGATAAGGTAAAATGGATTGCGTTAGCGCCGGGAAACCCGGGACGCCAAGGACACCGCCCGGCCGGCCCAATTGGGACACTTCCCGGCCACTGGCGGACGGGAAACGGACTTTCTAACACCCGGGACACCCGGGACACTGCCCGGCCCAACCGGCCACCGGCTGCTGGGCACACGGTTTGTCGCTCCTACTTCGGCCTAGCTACAGGAGGATCACGCGCAACTTCGCCTCGCCCGCACGCACGACACGAACACGAAACCGAAACCGATCTCCCAGTGGGGGTCTCCGTTTCACTGCGATCTCACCCCCCAGCCTCCGATATATATATATATATATATATATATATATATATATATAGACAGAAGCTAGGCGCGCCTGGCGAAGAGGCCAGGAAGAAGCCACACACGCTTGGCACGGCAACCATATTGCCTTGAAACAAGATCCGGGCCCAGATACTAACAACAAACGGCGTGAAGCAGCGCAACGTATTGATACCGAAACCAATTCACAACAACCGAACATGTAAATATCATGAAGCAGCGATGCCTGAAACTCTGGTTCCCCGAGAAGAGACGACACCGTCTGAACAGGGGCGTCGAACCCAAGACGCCATGCACTTATCTGGCGTGTGGGCGAGCAGGGCGCATCACGCTGTCGTGCTGCGCAATATGGGCCAGGGGGAGAACACGCAAGGGAACCAGCTACATTCACAACCGCTCGTCTGCGCCACCGAAGCGAATGGCAAGGCGAGAGCATGCCATCATGGCCATTGCTATCAACGGCGTCCGAATCTGGCCGGTTCGGACCCGGGCACCTTCCACGAGGAGGCCTCGAGCTGGCGGCGAGCCCCGGGGGCAGGCAGGAGGGGGCGGGCCTGCTCGGAAGACTCGGGTCGTTCCGAGAAGTTCCCGAAGGCCTTCCCGGCTTCTGAGAAGCCCCGCCGCCTTCTGAGGAGGAAGAGGAGGAGGAGGAGGAGGAGGAGGAGGAGGAGGAGGAGGAGGAGGAAGGAGGAGGAGGAGGAGGAGGAGGAGGAGGAGGAGGAGGAGGAGGAGGAGGAGGAGGAGAGGAGGAGGAGGAGGAGGGAGGAGGAGGAGGAGGAGGAGGAGGAGGAGGAGAGAGGAGGAGGAGGAGGAGGAGGAGGAGGAGGAGGAGGAGGAGGAGGAGGAGGAGGAGGAGGAGGAGGAGGAGGAGGAGGAGGAGGAGGGAGGGGAGGAGGAGGATCGACCTCCCAGAAGGCCAGAGGGATTCTGAGAAGCCCCGCCGCCTTCTGAGCAAGCCTTCTCCTTCTCGCTTCCCCGCCTCGCTCCCCGCCGAAAGGAGGTCGTGACACGGACCCATGGGACCAGCTCAAGGCATGCTGGACATTTGGGCTCCGAACCTCTCTCCATGAGCCTCGGTAGAGCAGGGGCCGACCGTCCTAGCATTCCTAGTAGGCCTGCCACGGCATGTTCTCAGGGCAAATGAGTGTTTGAAAAGCAAGGACGATGTTTTTATCGGTGGCGAACGAGGGGGGGAGTGAGAAGGAAAAGGCCTTCCCAGAAGACGGCGGGGCCTCTCAGAAACCCTTCTGAAGCGTTGTCTATGTCTTCAAGGAAAGCTCAGACAACTTCTCAAACAGCAGGGGGACTTCGGAGCCTTCTGAGAAAGCTCGCTCCTTCTCACTCCCTCCCTGGGCGCGCCACAGAAGAAAACTATATCCTTAGGATGCCCCACCGATGTATTAACAAGGGATGTGATGCGCTCCTGATAACGAGAATGTCCTACACACAAGATCAATGCTCGAACAAAAAACAGTGTTCATATAGCATAAGATTTGAAAAACAAAAGCACACATCACTTTTCTTGGAACATCACGCTGGTGTATCAAAACAAGACGGTCTCAACAAGAGCTGTTCGAATAACATCCCGTAGAAACCGCAGCAAACACATCTTTCGGTGTGCCTATATGCAAGCCAGAACGCATCGTCACTGCTTGACCTGGGGAAAGACGCGCTGGACATTCAAAACACGCCCCAAAGGCACTCTTGAATGCGAACCCTGCGCGTTTCTCAGAACTTTCGCGTCTGTCACTGGATGGTGATCTACCAGAGCTCCTGCTGTGACCCCAGCTCTGTACACATGCCAGCGCACGCGAGCAGAGAGAGTGCAGTGGCTCGCAACCACTCACGTTGAAAATTCTGTCAGCGAAGGCCTTTGCCCTCGCATCTGTCTTCGCACTTGCGCTTCCCACTCCTACGGGGATCGCCGCTCTCTTCTTCGCACAGCTCCTCCCGGATGTCTAAACTGGGGAAGCGTGGCTGGCATGTCTCCCACTGGGTGGTGATCTACCGGGGCTCCTGCCGCGGCCCAACTCTGTACCGATGTAAGGGCCTGTGAGCAGAGAGCGCGCAGAGGCTCGGATCCACTCACTACGAGCATTCTGTCAACGAAAGCCTTTGCGATGCCCGCCTTGGCATCGAAGACCGATGCCCTGTATCGTTGATGCGCCGACCAAATGCACTGGGAAAAGTAAGCATCACGGTCCCAATTCTGGGGGTAGGAGTGGCCGCGTCGCTGCCAGCACGTGAGTTCGTCTATCTCGACCCATATGACGCCGCACAGCATACGGCGGACGCGCTCGGAGTGCAGAAGTGAGTAGCCCTCAGCCAAGACGATTCTGCGGGTTGCTGCAGCCTGCTGAATGGCGCCTTCGAAGGCGATCCAGTCGGTGAGCGATGGCGTTTCCCAATTACGCAACCAAACGCCGTCCACCTCCACCCACGAATCCTCTGGCACGTCTGCCCCGGGAAAGCGGAAGTCGTCCTGGCCGACAATCGCGCACGCGTCGGGGCCGAAGGCTCGGGCAAACCTCGCGGCGAGCGTCGACTTACCGGACCGCGTGGACCCTGTGATGCCGATGACCAGCGGCGACGAGATCTTCGCGGCAAGCTGCCTCTCTGCACGGGCAGATGGACGTGGCGGCGCGGGCTCCTCGGCTGAAGGTCCGCCTTCGGCCGTGCCAGTGCCCTTGCCCTCGCTTCCGTCTTCACAGTGGCGCTCCCCACTCATGCGGGGATCCCCGCCCTCCCCTTCGTGCAGCTCCTCCCGGTGTTCTAACAAATATTTCGCCACGGGCTCGGGGCACATCGCCTGGACTGCTTAAACATCCCCGGCCCGCATGGCGTCGCGCAGCACTCCTCCCCAGACAGCTCTTCGACAAGGAACAGCCTACCATTGCTGCTGGTGTCGCCTATCTCCTGGAGAAGGGCCTCGCTGGAGCCCTTGCGGCAAATGATCGCGACGTGCCCTCTCCGCTCGGCGCGGTAGCGGAGGGCGGTGTCGGCGCCCACGACGTTGAACAAGGTGGCGCCTGGCGACTCCTGCTGCAACTCGTGGTGCAAACCGTTTACGAGCGCCGACCCAGAACCGAAATTCACGCCTCGCGGCTCGGCGATCAGCCATCCGGGCGGACCAGGAACGGAATCGCACCCTAGCCGCAGCGCAGCGAACCGGTGCTGGTCTTTGAGCGCCTCGACACCCTTGTATGCCAGGCGGCTGCCGTGTGTGATGGCGAGGTAGCCCCGCACGACTTCAAAGCCAGCGGCCTCAAGGTGACGCCGCGCCTGCACCATCATCTCTGGGTGGTGACGGTGCACAGGATCGAAGGAGCCGTGCGAAATGAGGAAAGCCTGGGGACGCGTGGCCATCGGTGTCCGAATCAAGGTCAGCGGCAACGGCAACTCTGGCGCCGAAAAACCCAAGAGCAGGCGCGGATGGAGAGGCGTACGCCCCAACTCCCACGCGCAGCCTGAAGCCATCTTGAGCCGCAGAGGCTACAGGCATTTCTCAGAACACGCAACATTGAGAACTCGAAAGGTCCTGAAGATACTACCTCCACTCAGTGCCTGCGGTGGCCAAGGCCACGTCGCGAGGCTCGCCCGGCCACGAAACTGGTCCCAAGCCTGGGCCAGTGGACAACAAAGAGGGTGCTTGGGGGCCTCACGGAGGGCCCCAAACCCGGGTCGGTCAGAGGGGCATCGGAAGGGACTAGTGACTGGCTTGAACCCCCTGTTGGCGCTAGTTCCCGTCTCTTGCGCCCTCATTGGGGAGGAGGGCAAAACTACAGAAACAGAACTTTCGGATGTCCGCGCGGATTCCCTGGATCGGCGCTGGACTCCTTTCTCTGGCGCGCGGAGCGCGGCAGTCCAGCGCAGATCCAAGAAATCCGTGCGGCACTCCAGAAGTTCATGCTTATGCAGTTGTCTCTGCCCGAGATTGGTAGGGTACGCAACAGATCTAGCGGCGATCTGCGACTCGGGTCAGGTCGGGCATGCCCTCCTACAGGCGGATTTTGGAATAAACATGTAAGTACTACTCAACCATAATCAAATAATGATCAAACAAATCCCTGACAAATTTTGGATTGCTCTTGCATATATATCTCTCCTGTAGAGGGACATTCCCGACTTGAGACTCGGGGGCCGCAACGGGTGTGGTGACCACACCGCGCGGTGAATCAGTGGAGGTGCGGGGTCGCCGCACGGCTTCTGGACGGGGGCCGTTCTCCGAGGATGTACATCGGGCGACCGGGGCCTCCGAGGTCCCCATGGGTGGTGCGGTGCCGGACCGCGCGGTGAGGTCTCTTGGGCTGTCGAGAGGGCCGCGCGGTGTGCGTCACCAAACGGTTCTTGTTGGGGCCCCCGAGAGGCTGGCGGTTCCAGCGGCGATCCGAGGTTGGCGTGGGCACAGTGGCGGCGAGTCCACAGGAGACCTTCCCCACCCTGAGACCCCAGGACGCCCACTGATTTCTGGTGTGGGAGCGTCACGCCTTCCGAAACCCGAGAAACCTGGGGCACCCTGGAGGCAAGCAGGGTGCTTCTTGGCAGGGTGACGATGTTGATGATGATGATGATGATGATGATGAAGAAATCCAAGAAACCCAGGGCATCCTGGAGGCAAGCAGGGTGTTTCTTGGCAGGGGCCCCCACCTGCAGCAAGGGCGGAAAGCGGCGGTGGCTGGCAACGGCAGCGGCGGCGCGGGCGAGAACGGGATGCGAGCAGTGCAGCGGGTTCAGAACTGGAGCCCAACACCGCAAGATGGGTTTGGGCACACACACAGACACACATAGGTGCACACACATATATATATATATATATATATATATATATGTATAAGGATGTATATATGTATGCACGATGTTTGCACGTATGCACGTATGTATGCATGTATATCTGTCTGTCTGTCTGCCTGTCTGTCTGTCTGTCTGTATGTATGCATGTATGTATGTATATATGTATGCATGTACACACATATATATAAATATATATACATGTATACATACGGCAAATTCGCGTCGTGTCGACCCTGGTGTTGGTTCCTGACACCGCGGGTAACGTTCAAACCTGAACGATCGTACGTTCCGTGGACGCCCGATCGTTCCATACAGGCCGATTCTGGACCACCGGCGGCGTTCAACCTTGAACGCCCGCGGCGGGGGCGCCGACGGTCGACACGGCGCGAACCTAGCGCAGAGGGAGAGGGAGACAGAGAAAGAAACGTTGCAGCGGTGCTGTCCCTGCCCCGTAAAAAATTGAGGTATCATTTTTTCTTTATAATAAAAATGCCCCTACGACAAATTTATTGAAAAAATTAGATGAGACATCGTAACTGCGGGAAAAATGGAGACCTATGATTGCTACAAGTGGCTCCCGAGATGCTCCTGAGCTGGGCGGTCGCCGGGTGCACAGCAGAACGGCAGCTTCGGGAACCAGAAAGGAGCCCGCGGACAAGAGGAGTCAGGACTGGCTGACATGGAAAGGGTACACTTGAGAGCGCAAGCATCAGTGGGAGCAGCGGCGATGTGATTGGATGGGGCTCACGCACCAACGCCAATCGACTATTTTTTGGCAGTTGCGCGAACGCGCCGCGAGCATACTATCAGAAAGGGCTGGTAGAGGTGCTCATAAGGAGAATTGCGCCGCGGGCCATTAACCATCACTGCGACGTTATAAACTAGAGAAGACTGATTAAAGACATGAAGTTCACAGGTCGACAACATAACACTTCCTTCGCATCGCATGGAAGTCCGCTGGCGCCCTTGCGGGGCTACCAGGCTGCGAGGCTTGAGGTCCTGCTCCCTGCGCCAATGCCAAAAACGTTACACATCCACGCTCGGCTTCGGGTTGCTGTCCGCGTGGGGGGGGACAGGCCGAAACCCGCTCTGGCTACCAGGCCCGAATTTCGTTGCCTGATTTTCTAAGACGGTCTAGAACAAACAACATGGTCGATCCACGGACCCGGGAATGAATGTAGGGACGTGAGGCATGGCTACGTTTTCATAATACCTGCTTGGGCGACAAGCAATTGCGAAGCTGAGCGTATCGATCGTTATGTACTGTGTCCATGGTTGTACTGTCCTGTGCCGTGCTGGAATGGGATGTGGCATGCCGCGATGAATTCCGTTGTGCTCTATATATATATATACACTGTTGTGAATCAAACCGCTTTTGGCGTCCAAATCCTCGCCGAACCGATCTGGATCTTGAGCTCGAGCTGCCTGAGCGCATAGCCAGCTGGTTGCAATGGAAACGTGTGGGACGCTCATCAGCTCGAGCTCAAGATCCGATTCACTTTCGAAGCGGGACGGGACGACACGGGGCGCAAGGCGCAGAGACGCGCCACGGATTGTGCCAGGGGCGCACTGGGGGATGCGCCAGGAGACGTGTCAAAGGACGTGGCAAGAGACGCGCCACTGAACGGGCAGTAAGCGTACCAACGGACAAACCAGGGAACGCGACAGAGGACGAGGCAACGGACGCGCCGATGGGGGGAAAGGCATACGCCGTCCCGCTCTGGGGCGTTCGGAACCCACGTATTGTTCACGCTTGTCCCGCCCTAGGGCGTTAGGAACCCATGTGTTTTCACGTTTGTCCCGTTCCAGGGCGTTCGGGACCCACGTTGTTTCATGCTTGTCCCGCTCTGGGGCGTTGGGAACCGAAGTGCTTTCGCACTTGTCCCGCCTTGGAGGCGTTAGGAAACCACGTGTGTTCACGTGTTCAGACCATCCATGGGGGGATATTCAACGCGCGGTCGTCTGGGCCCCCCCACGGCGAGAGGGGGCGCAATAGCAGAACCAGATCAATAATTCTGCTTCGAGCAATCCCCACCGAAACCTTCCGCGCCTCTTGAGGTATCCCGGAAATCTCTCGGGGGCCCCCTAAGGTTCTTCAGCCCATCTTGGAAGGCAGACGCTGGCCCATCTTGGCGTTCTCCTGGAAGCCTCGTGGGCTTCTCCTCGAGGCATTTTGCGTCGGATTTGCGTGCCTCGAGGGCCGCCCTCCAGGAGTGTGACCTCTTGGGCCGGCGCCCAAAGCGTCCCAAATGGCCCGACAAATGCCGAGGCGGCGCCAGGATGACCAATCACTGAGGGCAAAAGCGCACTCTGGTGGTGATAAGAGACGCCCACAGTTAGGCACAATGCCATGACCTGAGCGCCGGTCACCCCGTGAGAAGTCGCACAGCGATTGCCCAATTCCCTTCAGCGGAGGTCCCGCCCCGGATTCATGTTCACGCGGCGTCGCGCTGTCGAGGCGAGGGCGTGCGTGCCGGTGAAGACAATCAGAGAATTTGGGTATCTTCGGCCGTTGAGAGTGCCTCGGCACGGCTGGGTGCAGGGCGAGGAAGAGGAGGGGGAGGAGGCGTGGCGAACACGCCCTCCTCCTCCACCCCCTTTTGCTGCCTCTCGTGCGCTCCACGGGGCGCGCGTCCCAAGCATCCCAAGCGCGCAGAGAAAGCGCACAAAGACTCGACGCCAGTTTCACTCGAAGGATCAATGGGCAACGCGCTCGCCAAACGGATCGAGGGAGCAACCAATGAGAGACGCAACCTCCACCGTCGACGCAAGGCTGGCCGACGTAGGGGCGAGAGGGGGGCGATAAACATCTGGTCTAACAACAGGCACGAGGTCACTTACATGTAGAACGACTTGGAATGGGCAGGCGACATTTGGACTCATGCCCGCCTCTTGGTCGTGCATCTTGTCGAATGCGGCGCCATCTTCGAGGAGGTATATCATGATTCCAGGCGCGCCCAACTGCTGACCTGCCTTGGCAGTGACGTGGCACCACAGCTAGAAAACTTGGTCAGCGGCCACTGCATCCCGCCGCTGGTGCTCCAAACCGGGCTGCTGAAATGGGAAGCCGAACCTTTTCGTCGTGGCACTTGACCAGACGGATCCGGACACGGGGCCCCGTCCCGTTGCGCGCAGGTGTGGGGCCAGGGCGGCATCCCCACATGAAGGTCGATGCCCCCGCCTGCACGCATCCGGCAATCTGGAGCCAGTTAGTCGGCCCCTCGTTTTCCTCCCCGTGGGAACACCGCCTCGACACGCATGGCCTCCGCGCCCGCTTGGAAAGCCCAGCGGTCACCGGCCTCGTCGCGCAAACCCAGGGGGCCTGTGCGCCGATGCAGCAGCGGACCGGCCTCTTGGCTGACGTGGCGGGTGGCCATGCCCAGGAGCAGACGGCTCAACTGAATGATGCGGCGCACTCGGCGCGCCAAGCGCGCGGCGCGGGGGGTCCCGCGTCACTCAGCGGGGGACCTGCTGGCCAGCGGCGCGGGCGCCGACGGCGGGCGCGGCGCAAACGCGCGCCGAAGCCAGTGCGAAGACCATCGCGATCAATGCCATGTCAGCTCGCGCGGGTCACCGGTTGGGCGCTCAGCGATGGATCAACAGCTTCTCCTCGGGCTGCCGGCTAAATGCCGCCTTGGCGTGCTGCTGGAATTTGCAAAACGTTTCGCCTCTCCACAACATACGCGGCGCGGCTGTCACCGCCGCCACGGACGAGCCTAACCACGCGGCGGCTCTGGCCTGCTGGCTGATTTCTGGTCTCCTCCCCTTTCTCGGCGGGGGGTCGAGGGGGGGAAATGAAAAGGAGAAGGCCTTTTCAGAAGGCGGCGGGGCTTCTCAGAAGCCCTCCGGCCTTCTGGGAAATT